GCGCCCGCGTGTGCGTGGAGGAGCCTGCTGACTTTCAGAGTAGAAGACATCTTGACATGCACGCAATCACCCGAAGCATGCTCGTGAATGAGATTCCCTGCCAAACCTCTGGTGTCTTTGTTACGTGTGCGAGCGCGCCCTCTGTCTTATCTGCGAAAGGCTTCAGAAGCAATTTTGTGCAACATCTGACATTGTATGCGCCTGAAGGTACAAGCCTCCTGAGTGGTGCAGTGCAAGATTTCTTCCATCCACCTTTTGTCCACCTTTCTGATGCCCAAAGAATTTGCAGTGGACTGTAATGCTAAACATATGAGGTCAAGCTGTTGAGGTTTGAAGGAATATCTGCCCAAACTAGGGCCGATGCATGCCACCCAAAAACTTCCTTGAAGTTGCGCATATTCCCAAATCAATCACATCATGCCCTGTTGAGTCTGGCAGGAGTCCCTGAAGTTTGCCCGCAAGAGGCGCACCTTCGGCAAGTTCCTGATCGAGCACCAGGCATTCACCATGTTCATGATCCGATGAGCCACAGGGTAGTCTCTAGTCAATCCCAAGCCTTTCGTTGAATAACATGTAGTCCTCATCATATGGACCAGCCCAAAATCTATACAAATCACATGCCTCCATGCTGTGGTGCAGGTGGTCAGCACCTTGAGCCCTCAACTCTATAAACGTGAATTCCCATCCTTTGTGGGGAGGTGATCCAGCACAAGATCGGTGAGATGGGGCGCCAGTGCGAGGCATTGCAGGCATGGATTGACTACCTGACGCTAGTCCTGGTGGTTACGATTTGGGGTGGTCTAGGTTTAAGGGACTACAACTTGCATGTAAAGGTCTTAAGCCACTATCTTTCGTTACATTACTTGTAAAGCCTCCACGCACAGCCGAGGACCTTCCAGCTCACCACCATGTACCCCGGCCAGATTTCGGCATGTTTTTGCGGTTTAGGGTTTCAGGGGTGTAGAGATTGGCTGTCATAGTGCTCAGTAACTCCCCATTGGCCTTTCGGCTTTTTGAGTTGCTGTTGGACCCCAAGCGCTTGCGAGACCCATCAAGTGTCAGACTAGCTGCATACTTCACAGCGAGTGAAAGAGGGCAGCCAGGGGGTATTACTAGCATTGGGCCAGCTGGTTGATTTCGAAGCCATTCAGACAGGCTTTTTTCGGAAACAGTCCCTATACAGTCATGGAAGCCGACCCTATGGGTAGTTCCCAAAATTTTTGGTCCCTTTTTGGTACCTCTGAGTATTAGCTGCCATCATACAATCTATAACCAAAAGGGGCCCATAACTTTGAAGCAACCCATATGAGCCCTGGATTAAATTTGTAGTATATCCCTTAATAGGTCCCCCCCAAAACCCCATATAATCCCCTATAGGTCCCCCCCAAACCCATAACCAAAAGGGGCCAGCAAGCCCCCATGTTTGTGCATCCTTGACGGCACCTCCTTGTGTGACAAGTCTGCCACGCGGTTTAGGGTTTAGGGTTTAGGGATGGAAACCAGGACCAAGGAGGAGCAGAACAAAAAGCTTGGCGGCTACATCGCGCTGTTGAAGGTCTCGGCCACGAAGTGCCCTGCTGAAACATAGAACCCAAATGGTAGCGTTGATGCTTAAGTCCTGCAGGACTTTGGAGGCTTCAATGCCTAATTCGCAAGGCTTAGGGTACGTAGGGTCATGCAGGATTTTGAATATCAACTGTATTACGGGCGGTGATCAGTTTAGGGTCTAGGGCAAAGGTTTCAGGGCATGACTTCCTAGCTCAAACAGCTTGGGAGACATGTTCAATGTAGTTTTTAGAGGAAGGGGGTGAAGCCCCTCAAAGAGCAGAGCAATGATCGCCGTGCGATATCAGGAACCATACTATGTACCAGCAGCTCCTTGCTGAGCTGTGGCGTTTGCACAGGATTTCCCTCGTATTGTTGGCCAATTTCAGGTGGCCTAGAGCGAAATCCTGAACCCTAAGCTTATCTTCAAAGCAAGCTTTAGGCCCAAGCCCGTTTTGAAGCAAAGTTGCCGTTACTTTATTGCATGCGTTTACTGAAATTTTGAGGATTCTTCACTTGCACAGATTGCTGCCCAGGACCGTGGAGTACTGCGCCAGAGAGGCTCTTCAGGTCTTCGGTGGTGCCGGCTACACCCGCACGGGTCAGGGTGAGAAGGCCCTACGCCAGAAAGCCATGAGCCCATGTACTTTTTCTCCGTGTTTCCCATGGAAATGAGGGGCTCAGAGATTTCGAGCAACTTTTGCTTAGGGCATCTAAGAATCTTAACCCCTCAACCCTAAACCCTATACCCTAACTTACTAAGCCCCGACAATTAATGTGTGGCGTAGCATTGGGCTCTTGGCATCGCTTTGGAGATGCCAGGTTGAAAGCAACAAGGAAGATTTTTCCGTAAAGCAGCATCTTGAACCTTACAATCATTACCGCTGCCATTACATTTGTTCCTTATGTGACTCCTCTTCTCATTCTTGTTGTTCTGCTTTTTTTCTTCTTATGGCTAGTTATTATGACTCTTAGTACCATATTTTATTGTCTTCGTCTCTTGTTGCAACAGCCATGGCTCACTACCGCTGCTTTTGCTAGGACCATTGATACCGCATAGTTGAGCACCTTCCACACGAAAAGCCACTTTCCAGGGGCAGTACTGACAGTCCCTGTGTGTAAACCGCTTGTAGCTCCTGGAGACATGAAAGAATAGATCTCCCTGGCAAACCTGTCGGGCTATTTCGTACAGGCAAGGACTAGGACCCCTGAATATTGCAAAGCCGGTCCCCGGACCCAGGCACCTAAGCCCGGAACCCTAAACCCCAAGTCCCTCAATCAGAAGAGTTGGCCGAACCTTGCACTGCTCGTAAGCCCTGTACCTGGCAAAAAGTCACTAAAACTTCAGCCCCAAACCCTACATCTTAAAAACAAGCCCTACAGAAGTGCTTTACCGGGACATCCCGTGGATACTGCCCTCACTCGGTACGAGCCGGACAATGAATATAACATAACTATACATAACCCTTAGTATTACCTCCTTTACAGGGTTGCTATGAAGGAATTTGGATTGGATTACCATAATATGTCATAATCTGTTTTTGTAATGGTAAATGGTGGAGTTTCCTAATATCAACTTACTTTAAGCTCCTTCACAGCATGCCAGTTTAAAGGGAGCTTCTACATAGATGTCATAACCGCACCTCTTACGAAGCTAGCATCATGATACACATATATCTATATATATATATATCTCCCTTGTAGCGACCCCTGTTATAGCCTGCTACTGGGCCCCAGACATCACCGGACGGCAGATGAGCTATAGTCTACACTCCTGAAAGGAGGGTTATGCAGGAGACTATTTAGGCAAGTATCGTACTGTCATTTTGGAGGGTTACTATAAGTTCCGACTCTAAACCCTAAAACCCTAAAACCCCAAACCCTAAACCCTAAACCCCTAAACCCTAAACCCTAAACCCCTTAGCCCCAAACCCCTTAAACCCTCATCAAGGGGATATCCGGAGTTTAGCCTAAATCCGCAGGTGGAGCGCGTGTACCGGGAGGTGAAGGCCTGGGCCATCCCCGGCGGAAGCGAGGCCATCCGAAGCCTTATCTTAGGTTCATAGTCCCCCTTAAGGAGATAGAATATGGGGTTTAGGGTTTAGGGTATAGACCCCCTTAAGTAGATATAGGGGTTTTAGGGGTTATGTTGGGATAATGGAAAAGAAAATGGAAATTAAATCCCCTTAAGAAGATAGAGTATGGGGTTTAGGGTTTAGGGCTTAGGGTTTAGGGTGCAGGGTTTATGATTTAGGGTATAGTTGCCCCTAAGTAGATAGAATATGTGGTGTATGGGGTTCTTATTATAATATACCCAAAGCCATATATTCTATCTACTGAAGATGGACTATCGGGCTTGGGGGTTTCTTTGAAGAAAGGGGTTTAGGGTCTAGGGTTTAAGCTGTAGGGGGTTCCTTGAATCTGAGGAGGCAAGATAGGGATTTTTTGGGGTCCTGTAGGGTTTCGCGGTGTCGGGTTCACGGGTTCATTTGGACAGGCAAGATAGAGAGGTTGTATGGCGACATTTAGGGTTTCGGGTTTCCAGGAATCTGCTGTTTTTATTTCTGGAAATATGGGGATT